GCTAGATGTTCTCGACGGTGCAGGCTCGGACACGGTTGGTGGAGAGGCACTTCAGAGCCTTGAGTTTATCCCCCAGAGGTTTGGCTTTCAGGGTGTATATTATGGGGTTTCCCAAACAGTTCATGGTTATCAGCATAGCCGTGCAGTTTCGAAAGATGTAGATGCCCGGGTAGAGATCAACGTGGCACTGGTGGTTGGTTGCATCGAATATGACTCCTGCGAAAAAAGGGGCGTAGGAGATCAACGCCAGGAGCCAAATAAAGATGCTGGTTCTGGCAACCTGGATTTCAGCTGATTTGTAGGTGCCAGTAGCTTGTCCACATGCTTTCATCCTCAGCTTTCTTTTCCTCAGGATGATAATGATTCTAAGGTAAGTGAACAGAGGTATGATAAAAGCCGCCACCACAACATTGGGAATGGTGATGAAGATGAGGTAGTCTACGCAAAATGGACTGTAGAGGACAGAGAGGTTTTTTCTCCTATGCAAGCAGTTCCACCCCATCAACGGCAAGCAGCCCAAAAAGAAAGCAAGGACCCAGTTAATTAAAACCACAGCTATGGAATGGTTTCTAGCAGCCCTGAATCTTGTCCTCATGCTTTCAGCCACAGCCAGATAGCGTTCAATTCCAATGCTTACCAAGTTATAAATGGTGGATAAAATAGACATAGTGTATAAGGCATAAGGTGCAAGCATATCCTCGGATCCAAAGATTGTAATGTCAGGATTGGTGATGAACAGCGTTGAAATCCAAAAGCCAGAAAAACTGGTGAAGAGATCAGAAAAAGCCAAATTGCAGAAGAGTATAGAGATAGGCTTGTGCAGATCCTTTGTCGCTATTCTGGTGAAGATGACCGTGCAGTTGAAGATCACAGATGCGATGTTAATGGTCAGTTGAGGGATGCCCAGCGCAAGTACTAAATAATGACTCCAAATGTTAGTGTGGTTAGCAGAGCAGTTTGGGTATCCGTTCATGGTGGAAAATCCTCCTTTCAGCCATTAATGAGGTCTGCTTCACTCATCCCATACTCCGCAAGAGACCATACTGCATGAGTGTTATTGCCACCTTGTTCTCCAGGCGAAGAATGAATCCTGACACACAACCTCTGTTGCCACATCATCATCATGACAGTGGATTAAACTTTAACTAATCGTGTTTTTAAATATTTGGGTTACCAACTCAGGGCACAGCCAATTACCTTTAAGTTGCTAGGGTAGCCAAAAGTGGAAAACATATTTACTACTATACAGATGATCTGCTTAAAGCAACCCTTATCAAGAGCAAAATCTGGCCAGTTCTTGTGAAGATGAATGATCACATCAGTAGTTTAAAAGTCTTTAAGGATATTCTAAAAGGGAATGAATGTGAATTCTGCTTTAATTCACAATGAATTAGATGGGTAAAGGATTAGAGAGTCAGAAAACAGAGAGCAGTACTTTTTTGGTTTTGGAGGGGGGAGTACGTGGCTGGTGGAACTCAAAGAACACCACCACTGTTGTGTCACTAACCTGGACCCCAGTTCAGTGAGGATGTAAGCCCTAATCTCAGATCAACTCTAGTGACACCACAAGACTTCTGAAGTGCTCAAGATTGAGCAAGAGACAACAGAACCTAGTTGTTCACTGTCTCTTGCTTACAGTTACAAATCGGTGCAGCCACCAGTGGCTCTTTTTCTAGGCACAGTTAGATCATATCTACAGAACAAACCCCCAACTTGTGAGCAAAACCATATGATGAACTGCAGCGCTTCAGAGGGGATCCAAAAAGATAAGAGTCTCTGTCTCCACAGATGCTCTTGTGCTTGGCCCCACAGAAATATCTCCTTAACTGAGTACTGGAGTACTCAGAAGTTGTCAGACTACACCTGAAATTGTGTGACCTTTCTTTCTCTTGTGTAAATCAGAGGTACTGATGCTTTACGAGCTTAAAAAAAAAAAAAAAAAAAAAAAAAAAAAGGCATTTAATGAGCTTGCTTATTTAAAGTTGATGTGCAACTTGTACATTAATAAAACCACATAATATCATTATATCTTCTCTTTCTCTGTCTTTTTGAAGGTAAATTACTTTTGAGAACTAGATTTAAAATACCTAAGACTCGGGAAGAAAGCTCTTTGGACGTACGTTCAATGCCATCAGACAGCAGAGGGCACTGCTGGAACAAACAATACAGTATACAGCGGGGACTGTGGGGATTTTAAACAGCGGAGCAGTTTATGTCAGCAGTTCGTCAGTATATCAATATCACCAGCGCCATGGATATTTTTTCTATGCAGAAGTGGCTGCTTTTGTTTGCTAACGCTGAGCGCGGGCCGCCTCTGTGCCACCCCACGTTTTATTCAAAATGCTTACATATAAGGAGAAACCTCCAGCGCGCTCTGGCTGCTACCTGGCACCTACCTGCAGCTGAGCAGCTTTCCCTTAGCAAAATTATCCAGGTAAAGCCATGTTACTTACAAAGCGATTCTGATTTAATTTATGTTTTACGGTTATCCTAACGGAGGATTAATTTGCATTAGTAACAATTTTATACCGTGATACTGCAAAGCAGCTCAGCTAAGTTTATGGGCTTTCCACATTCGGCACTGACATCTGATCATTATAGCAGCAATTCCAGCTCTAGAACTTTACATCTGTGAACTATATGATAGCTCTGCCAGAATTTACAACGTAAGAAATTTGTGCTAAAATGTTGAGCTTAAAAAGGAAAATTCTATAGCTTCTTTTTTTCTGTTAAAGTTGAAGTGTGTGAAAGTGTATTCAGGTTAGGGTGCAACTGCAGTAGTACACAGTTATTGTATACTAGAAATACTTTATGCAAATAAGTAATAGGTATTTCAGACAGTCACAAGGAAGTGCAAAGAATGATTATATAGAAATAAGGACTGAGAATTGATTAATCAAGTCTGCTGATGTATTAGTATCCTATAAAATATTCTTCTCAGAGTATCACAGATAAACCTTTCTTTGTGCATCCTACAATCCACCTCACACAGACTTGTCAACCGCAGCTTTGGTGTGAGGTTGCTGCTGAGCAAGGGCTCTACTATTTCTGTCACCTTGTCAGTGCCAGCACCACAAGCCAGCAAGTCCTTTTAATAACAGCAAGTGAGTCAGCACGTAACGTACAGCACAGGGGTCGTGGTTGAACCCCAGCGGGCAACCAAGCCCCACCCAGCCGCTCACTCGCTCCCCTCACAGCGGGATGGGGAAGAGAATCAGAAGGGTAAAAGTGAGAAAACTCGTGGGTTGAGATAAAGACAGTTTAACAGGTAAAGCAAAAGCCGCGCACGCAAGCAAAGCAAAACAAGGAATTCATTCACTGCTTCCCATGGGCAGGCAGGTGTTCAGCCATCTCCAGGACAGCAGGGCTCCATCACGCCTAACGGTGACTTGGGAAGACAAACGCCGAACGTGCCCCCTTCCTCCTTCTTCCCCCAGCTTTATGTGCTGGGCATGACCTCATATGTGTGAGATATCCCTGTGGTCAGTCGGGGTCAGCTGTCCCAGCTGTGTCCCCCCCCAACTTCTTGTGCCCCCCCAGCCTGCTCGCTGGTGGGGTGGGGTGAGGAGCAGAAAAGGCCTTGACTGTGTGTGAGCACTGCTCAGCAGTAACGAAAACATCCCTGTGTTATCAGCACTGTTTCCAGCACAAATCCCAAACACAGCCCCACACTAGCTGCTGTGACGAAAATTAACTCTACCCCAGCCAAAACCAGCACAACAGGTGAACATCGGTCGGGAATGGCAGAGGACACCAGACCAAGCCACACGCACTCCTGGTCTCTCCTGACTGTGTTTTCCATGTCTCTGTGAACTAAGGGAGGGGCTGAGGGCCATGATGAACAGCAGGCTATGCACAAAGTAAAACATCTTTCAAAATATCCTAGTTACTCAGAAGAGTATATCCGTGAGCGTGGACTCCAAGGTGCCGTAGACATTCCTGAAAATGCTACCTGAAATTTCTCTAATTTGCAAATTTGGTCATCAAGCATGAAACACTAAATGATATGAGATCAGAATGTAATTAAAAACAGTATCAGGTAGTATAAATAGCTCTTCACAAAAGCTTTGTAATCTTATTTCCCCAATATAATTGCATAAAAATTAGCATAACGTTGCTAGATTAAAGGAGACAATATTATTGTGGAAACTGCTTTTTTAGTGGGCTTCAATATACAGAAAAAAACAGATTTGTATATTCCAACCATCTGTAATAAAGTTTGCGCTCTCAAAAACACATGAAAAGTAGTTTGAATTGAAAACACTGTGTGAGACAGAGGGCTACTACATAGCCAAATCTCTACGTATAACAATCTCGATTGAAGGGTATTCTTATACTCCCATATTCTGGGAACCTTGCAATCTCTCTTCTATTT